TTCAAGTTCTGCTGGACTACCTAAAAGGTATTAAAAGTAAATATTACTTGTAGAAACAAACCAATTTTTCGATATAAATGTGTTTTTGTATTTTAACAACAAGACAGTCATAATACTTACCATTAACAAAATGTTTTGAACAAATACGAGCATTTTTCAGAAACGTTTCAGTTAAATCTCTCCTTTTGAGGCATTTAATCCACAGATTTCGTCGTTCCTTTTTTAGCTCGTTTAGACGATTCCCTAGATCTCTTAATGCTGCTGGGATCCTGAAAAACCTTTCTTTATCTCTTTCCGCTCTACTAGAGCACCTAACAACGCAGCAAAAAGAAGGCATCTTCACAAAATAGATTGAAAATTCTTGGTTTAACATTGAATCAGGTTATGTTTGGCTTTTGTGTGCCCCCCAAACTAATATGGCGGATCGGTTATGACATTAACCTGGAATGCCTAATTAATAGTTGTATTGCTTTCACACCTAGGAGGAGCTCCGGAACAGCTCCGGGGCTTCACGCGCTTATTCCTTTCGAAAAGTGTTTGTTGCACCACGCATCTGTTCCCTGCGAATCGGGGGCGACTAAACACCGGAGCGAGTAGCTCGAGTGTTTCAAACTCTTGGAAGGATTACAACTATTACCTAGGGCAATCCAACGACCTGTCAAAATGAAATTCAAAAAGGAGGCCAATGCCTTTTTATTTTAAAAAAATGCCGTTTCATTGCGATTTTTGATTTGTATAAAGTCTGTAAACTGTTGATTTTTTGGAAAATGCATACGTTATGTATTATACATAGTTGTGGGAGCCGTTCTAATCGCGCGAAAGTCTAGTTTCATGCCATTCCTGTAGAGACAAAACACAGGTTTTTAACGGAGAAAAATGATTTGTCTGTACTTTGTGAGGGCTTCATGGATTGTAGCAAAAGAGAAAAAATCTTACGAAATTCATATTAAAAAACCAAAAAGTCTCCCTACATAAATGTTGTATGAATCCAAGATCCAAGCCATTTACTATCCTCCACATCAGCTTGTGTCGCTAACTTGAATAGCAGACAAATAAAATAAATATCAGGATTCAGGATTTGGTTAAGAAAAAACTAAACAGGGATCAAATCCTGGATAGTAGGTACCTACCTAATTGTTTAGTAGGTAAAGGTTTGTCACAAAGAATTCATAACTTTTGCAAACATCCAGGTTTTCCACTAATAATTTCTTAAAATAACAGCTCTTCATCTTAAAATACGAAAATTATCCTTCCAAACACTAGAAAACACCACAAAAAACAGTTTTTCGATGGAAAATGTTACGGTTGTTTGAATTAAATTTATGGCGCCAATTTTTTGGCATTTACCATGCATTGACCGCCATTTTGTTTGGATTGCTTGATTTAAAAAAAACCCAAGAAAAAACCTTTCTAGGTTCTAGTAAATATACTTAATACCGTATGATACCAAGTATAATACACATGTAGCTACTTTTTAAGCAATTTAGGTATGTATATTGTTTCACAATATTGAGGATATTGTTTCTTTTTATTTTTAATGGGTTTGTTTCTTTAAAAAGTTGAACAGGACCATAAAAAATCAATTTAATCTGAACCTTGGCATAATCAGGCTGAGTAGGCCATACAAATGTGTCTAATTCCTTTTCCAAAATTTGAGAATAATTAAACCCTAGAGTAAACCCTTTTTTCAAAGTTCAGCCTTTTTTCCATAGGTACCTATATAAAGTTAGGATACATATTAGATTGCATCAACTTCAAGCTACTTGAAAGCTTGAAATTCCTTTGCACTCAGGGTCATTTTTAAGGAGATTTGGTAGGTACCTGTTCTGAAATTATTTTCAATGCGCTTTTGGATTTCATCCTATCTTCTGGAACAAAACAATGTCAGAACTAACTGATAAGTATTCACACTTATTAGGTTTTTCAATTAGCATATTAAAACGATCTACTGGAATTATGTAATCTCCATTCTCCAATGGCCAATAATTTTTTTCTCAGTAGGTAGGCGATTTCCTAATTTGGCCCCATTATGAACAGCATCTTAAATGTAGCATTCAAATCCATCTCAAAAGTGTAAAAAGTGGATGTAATTCCAAAAGGTTTTTCCTTTTGTTATTGTTTGTTGAATTGTTGTTATTGAAATTTTCAAACATACTTATTCTTCATTTAGATAAAAATCAAACTCATTATTAGTTCTTTTAAATTTGGTCCTGTAAATCACGAAGTGAAATTTTGGGAGAATTTCTTTTATAAAAATGAATGTCCAATGTCCAACACAAAACTAGTCTTTTTTTTTAAGTTCCAATTGTTTCTTTTAAAAACAATCTGAACCTCAGTGACGCCATGCTGTACTTACCCCACAATTTCCTTTAAATTCCTCCAAATTCCCAATAAATTCCCCAATATCTCATAAGCTCCTCCAATTTCCGATAAGTTCCATCAAATTCCCCACAAATTCCTCTAAATTTTCCACATTTTTGGTAAAGAATTCCTAGGTGGTTTGCCCCTTGAAATTTTATGTACGACCCAGATTTTTTTTCTTGTAATTGAAATGGGCTTAATTTTTCACAACAGATTACTTATATTTATAATTTTTCTGAATAAATGGATTTTTAAAAGTGCAGTTTCTCAATAAAGCTGAGTTACGTAATGAGTTCATTACATCACGAGTACGATGATACAACTTACTACGTAACTCAAAGAAGCTAATACGAGTTGCGTAATAAGCTCTCACAGTGTGGTTCGTAACCATATTATCGCATATTATGTAACAAAGTTTTATATTTTTGCTTTGGCCTGAAAAAATTTAGATCATCCGACATTGCGTCGCAAAATTAATTAACAATTCACACATTCCAAGCATTATTTACATTCAGTCAGAATTAAATGCTTTTTAAGATAAAACAAAATTGAATCATTTATCCCAAATAGTTTTCTAGATGTTGAGCCTCAAAGTTGTAACTTTCTCTCAAATTTTGGAAAAGTTTCAAAGCCAATTATCTCGAAAATGGAGCCCTAGCAGGGCTCGGTACCATATATAACCTTTTTTGAAGGAACATATTTCGTCCCAATACCGAGCCCAATACCTTTTCCAGTTTCCCCGAGAGTACCCGTTAGAAAAATTTCAATTTTGATTATCATAATTTTTTTGAATTTTGAACTTTAACAATGGAGAGAGGGGGTAAAATTTAGTGCGAAATCATTTTTGTGATTTTTCTTTTTGAGAATATAGGGCCTGTAAAAAATTAAACATGATTTTTGCATTTTTGGCTCTCAAAAATTTTGATCATCCGACATTGCCTCACAAAATCGCTCATAACTCAAGGAATATTCCACAAATTGTAATGCATATTTATATAATTTTAATCAGAGTTAAATGCTCTTCAAGATAAAGCAAAATTGAATCGTTTATCTCAAATAGTTTTCGAGATATTGAGCTTCAAAGTTGAAACTTTGTCTCAAATTTTGGAGAACCCTTGAAGCCGATTATTCCAAAAACAATGCCCTAGGGCTCGGTGTTCCAAATAATCTTTTTCGAAGCTCTAATCGAGATATACAATTAGACAACATTTTGTGCCGATAGCTTTTCTGTTGTCCAAAATATGGCTCTTTGAAATATTTGAAAATGAAATTTCCTTGCATACCTACCCCTTAGAAAAATTTATATTTTCATTTTTCTAGATTTTTTTATTTCTGACTTTACCAATCGAAAGTGGGGATCAAATTTGGTGGAAAAACATTATCGTGATTTTTCTTTTCGAGGTTTTAGGGTCCTTACATTTTTGGCCCTGAAAAATTCTGATCATCCGACATTGCCTGACAAAATCGCTCATACCTCAATCAATATTTTACAAATTCCAATGCGTATTTATAGATTTTTAATCATAATTAAATTCTCTGTCAGGTAAAACAAAATTGAATCATGGATCTCAAATACTTTTTGAGATATTGACCCTCAAAGTTGAAACTTTGTCTCAAATTTTGGAAAACCTACAAAGCCGATTATTCCGAAAACAAAGCCCTAGGGTTCGGTGCCCTAAATAGGCTTTTTTGATGCTCCAATCGAGATATACAATTTGTCAAAATTTCGTGCCGATGGCTTTTCTTGTTTCCAAAATATGGCCTTTTTAAATATTTGAAAATTAAATTTCATTGCATACCCCTTCGAAAAATTCACATTTTGATTTTTCTAGAATTTCTAATTTCTGACTTTACCAATCGAAAGAGGGGGTCGAATTTAGTGGAAAAGCATTTTCGTGATTTTTATTTTTGAGGGTTTTGAGCCCGTGAAAAATTAAAAATGATTTTTGCATTTTTTGATGTGAAAAATTTTGATCATCCGACATTGCCTCAAAAAATCGCTCATAAGTTTTACACATATATTTTTAATCATAATTAAATGCTCTGTAAGGTGAAACAAAATTGAATCATGGATCTCAAATACTTTAAAAGAGATATTGACCTTCAAATTAGAAACTGTGTCTCAAATTTTGGAAAACCTACAAAGCCGATTATTGCGAAAACAAAGCCGTAGGGCTCGGTGCCTCAAACAAGCTTTTTTGAAGCTCCAATCGAGGTATACTATTAGACAAATTTTCGTCTCGATGGCTTCTCTGGTTTCCAAAATATGGCTCTTTGAAATATTTGAAAATGAAATTTCCTTGCATACCCCTTAGAAAAATTCATATTTTGATTTTTCTAGAATTTCTAATTTCTGACTTCACCAACCGAAAGAAGGGGTCAAATTAAGTGGAAAAGCATTTTTGTGATTTTCATTTTTGAGGTTTTTAGGCCTGTAAAAAATTGAAAATGATTTTTGCATTTTTTACCCTTAAAAATTTTCATTATCCGACGTTGCCTCAGAAAATCGCCCATAACTCGATCAATATTTTACAAATTTAAATGCATCTTTATCCATTCTGAATCAGAATGAAATACTTTGTAAGATAAAACAAAATTGAATCATTTAACTCAAATAGTTTTCGTGATGTTGAGTGTTAAAGTTGAAACTTTGTCGCAAGGACATTTATTAGGTATTAAGTTTGTGAAATTTTGTAAGGAAATGTAGTGTGAGAGGACGCCTTACACAAATGTTCTTTTACATAAAGGTAAATATAGACATTTGTTTGTAAAATAAACTGGTTTCAAATCTATATTCAATTTATTAGGTCAAGAGCTGGGGTCACTAGGCTTCCTTCCAGTAGCTATAGCACTACCGCAGGGGAGGCACTTGGCTGGCTCCTGGAAACAGACTTTCCAAACTCTCAAACTCTGCAAATCGGTGAACCACCACTTCACGCTCCAGAAGCGCATTCATTTATTCATTATGGGCATAGAAAACAATGTCTCTGCATCCAAATCAACACATCTACAGGACCAGGACCTACCAACCTCTAGTAGCCCCTGTGGGTGGATGAACATAGGGAAACCCCCCTGTATATTCATATTTGCCAGGTACCAGCAATACGTCATTTATTTCCGTCAAAGTTTTTCACGAGTGTCACAGACTCTCTATTTACAATCCATTTTACTCCTTATTTTTTCAGTTTTTACGTGTGTTTTGTGTCCAGAACATTACAAAATGAGTGTATTTGAAGCCTGCTCCGCAATTGGTAAAGATTTGCTGGCCAAGATCATAAAATCGCAAGTGCGCACGGCGGTAAGTATTTTCCCTCATTGAAAAAATTAGTTTTTGAATACAAACCACTCAATTTTCAGCCGCTACGCAATTTTTTTAGCTTCCAAATTCCATTAATTGGTTCCGCAACTTTGAATACCGCAGCAATTCGAACTGCTCTTCTAGTAAGTGCGGAAGCTCAACCGCGGCTGCAGCATTGTGGTTTTTTTACAAACGTGGTACAATGCATAATGCAGGACGCAAGCTCAAGAGCGTCTTCGAGGCCTCCGGCCACAACTTGGAGTAAGTATAAACCTATTTTTTTTCATTATTTATGGGTCTGCTTCACAACAGGGACCAAATTTATTTTTTTTTTTTGGTTGAAACTTGAACTCATTAAGTTGGTACCTGATAAGTATTGAGAAGAAAGTATTCCATGATGGCCCAGCGTGATTTCTGATCCTTTTTACATTCTTAATGTTGTTTTTTGTTATTCCAATTTTAGAAGTGGTAGCTTGTGGCTCAAGAAGAAGCTGAACTTCCGTAGAGGTCGTACTGTGATTCAGGAAACTATCGCACCTTGCAAGGCCGAGACGTCCAAGATGAAGATGTTCAAACTTTCAAGAAATAAAAAGGTAATGAAGAAAAAAATTCAACTACAATTTCTCCGAACACTCAGAAAACAGACACGCACCAGATCTGCGGCTGAATCTACTGGTTTAACAGAACCAAATCTGCCGAGAAGTGGAGGTGAAGGTAAGTAAATGGTTACCTATTTATACTTTTTTTTAATAATGATTTTCTTAAAGGTCAGAATCCAGAACAAGATTCTTAAAGAGAAAATACACTGCACCAGATGACCAACGCTTCTGTCAGTGAGCTTACACAAAATTATAGTGTGGAATATTTTTTTATACTTATATTTATTTTTACTTCGCTTTTATACTTAAAATGTAAAAATTATTAATGAAATATATAAACATTTTCGGACTAAAAGTAATGTACTATTTTTAACTCAGCTTTTCAGCTACTATAAGAATCTTGGCAGCATGATTATCTATGGATTTGTCTCTCTGATGGTTAAATAAGCCTATTGTGGACCCACATTTTCTCTCACATTGATTGCGCACCTATTCAGTGGTAGTTGGTCACCGTTGTAACTTACCTTCCCAACCATTACAGTCCTAATTCTTGAAACAGGGAAGCAGCGTTTCCAGGAGAACAAGTGTTCTGTTTTTATCAATGATATGCAACTGATAATATAGGTAACAAAGACGGAACACTTGTTTTCCTGGGAACGCTGCTCCCCTGTTTCAAGAATAAGAACCTTCCTTCACTCCTAGCAAAAAAAAGTGATTTCAACACTCCACCCACAATTTGACATTCCTCTTCACCAACCAGCCTACTCCAGTTTAATGATGAACAAAAAGGAATTCTAAGAAATCGAAGACAATGTTGGACCTGATTTCGAGGGTTAATTTTAAGAGCAGAACCCATTTCACAATTTAACACACCATCATCAAACCAGCCCCCTTAGTAGACCATTAAAATAATAAATTGAACAAAGAAAAATTCTAAAAAATTGAGGCTTCACCAAATTTTGAGATTGATTTTGAAGGACAGACTCCACTTCACAGTTTAGCACCCCAATTGACCTCTCAGCCTCGTTAGTGGACCCGTGAAATAATAAATTGAACCTGGTTCTAATGTGTGATCCCCAGCTTAGATTGGAAACTGTACGCACCCTATTTTAAACATTTCTCAATCTCTGTCAAAGTCATGTATATCTATCAAACTTTGTCTAACTCTCTGTTGTAAACTATTCAACGGATTCTTGAAATTTTTAGTTAGTGTTTGTGGTGAACATGATTTTCAAACGCCTTCCAAGCTTTTTAAAACGAGCAACATTACTTCCGGTAAGTTACATTCATTATTTTTGAAATTCTAATAATTAAAATAAATAAATTTTGCCGGAAGATCTTTCCGCATACGCTTTTGTCTCATTTCGCTTATTTCCAACTGTTGCATTCAATAATAGCTGATGCTGCTTTCCTGTGTTCTATTCACGGAAGTTGCGCACCCAATGCTGCTGCGCTCTCGGCGCACCCCCTTAAAAAATATTCCCATTCTGCCTCAGCTTCTTGCTTGTATTGATTTTGGAGGGCAAAAACGGCCTAAATTTATGTTTCATTATTCTACAACTTGGCACCAAATTAGTCTATTTCCATAATTCTCGCAAAAATTTGATAGTTGTTTTGTTTGGCAAGTGTAATAGATATTTGTTTGAATTTTATACTTCAAACTGTTTGGTAAGTATAGGTATTTTGATTTGATTTTTATTTTGTTTTCATTTAAACTTAATTACTTTCGATACTAATTGAACATTTATTTGTACCTACTAGCCTTTCATTTCATATTTGTTACTTCAATGCAGAGTAACGCTTTTCTCGAGGCTTTTCTATTTACTTATGTGGTGGCAACTTGTTGCTTTTGAAGTAACGGTAAAGGTATCCACATATAACTAATCTATAATAGCTAATAGTTGTTGCGTATGCAACGGCTTTTTTTTGAAATAACAAAACTAAAAGCAGAAGGTATACCTATGTAATTGGTTCAATTTTCTTTCAATGATTTTGCCAAAGACCTCTAGGTTATTATTCTAAGTTTTGCTCTGAAGGTAATTACCTACGTTTTGGAACCGATCTTACACGTACGATTATACAAATGAATGAATACAAAAAGTTACTTCCTTAAATGAGGGAGTTAAGTAAATACAGTAGGAATATAACTATCAAGTCACTATTGAACTTATCGATTTTGATTTTAAAAAATGTTGTTTCCGGGCTTGTGGGCCGTGGTCTTCCATATGGAACATGGCCCATAAGCCCAGGAAACATTCACTATGGAATATTAAAATAGTAGGTAACAATTTCAGGTAACAAAGTATAGAACCATGGCTGATCTTACTGAACTCAGAAAAGTGTTGATTCTTTACACTGGTGGAACTATTGGAATGAAAAGAAATAACATTGGTGGTAAGTTGGCTAGTTAATTATAAATTTGCCAAAATTAATTGTTTTTTACTTTTTTGCAGTTTTGGTTCCCGTTCCTGATATACTTACGGGCAAAGTTAAAACCTGTCAGGAGCTGCATGATCCAGACTTGGCTCGAATTTATTCAATACGGAATCACGAACTGATTACAAAGTAAGCTATTTGAAGTGTAATCAGGATTTTATAATCAAAATAAATGCATTTGTAGAGTTTCTTCTTGCAATAAGGTCATTGCCTACCAAATAAGAGAATATCACCCGTTGCTGGACTCTAGCAACATGACTCCAAAAGAGTGGGTGATAATTGCCAATAATATTGAGGTAAACTAACTCAAAAACAAATCGTTTTTGGTAATTCGTTATAATTTTAGGAGACTTACAATGAATTTGATGGATTTGTGGTACTAACTGGAACAGACACCTTAGCCTATACGTCCTCCGCTTTGTCCTTCATGTTTAAAAATTTACATAAGCCCATTATTATTACAGGATCTCAGGTGAAGATATGAATAATCTACCTAGCTTAACAGCATGTGCATTTTTAAGAGCTTCAAACGTCTTAAAAATGTTTGAAGCGCGTAGAAAGAGTACTAGATCACGATTAGTGTGGATTGTAATTTTCACAATAACCATATTCTCGTCATAAGTGCAATGGGAAAAGAGATTGTGCATATTCCCGAAAGTCATATGCATAACTATGTGAAAATAATGTAAAATTGCTATTTGGGTTGAAGTTTTAGAAAAGTTTTTTACCTCAGAACCCTTGTAGGGATCTAACCCAAACATAGACTCCATAAAATTTAATTTTCACACTTGTTATACAATAGCAATGGTTTCCTTCACATATTATAGCATAAAGTCTAGGTATTTGAAAAAACCTTCACCTTTATATCAGAAATTTTGTGATGTTGATTAAGATAATAGGTATAGTAGACACTGGGGACTAAGTAGTGTGAAGTAATCGCAAAACCTGTAATTTTGCGACAAGACATTTATTGGTTTGATTTGTTTATTTCTGTTTCTTCTGTTAAATAGGCAGATTCGTAGATAAGTGGGACTAATTTTCCGAAACTAAATAAATTTCATTTACGACAATATCACCAAAATCATGACAAAACGGTACAGAGAAAAAATTGTCTTCTAAAGGGGTCAAAATGGTTTCTAATCATTTGCTTAAACAATATAATAGGCGAAGAAAAAACGGAAGAAGCACTCGACAAATGGTTTAAACAGCAAAACAAAACGAATTTGCCTGGTGAGATGCTGAAGCATACATCCCATGTAGATTTTTTTGACTTATTATTGCCTGTTTGGCAAAGTTCCAAATAAATAGTCTCTTACTTTTATTACTGTTCAAAGAAGGTATTAATTTAAATTGAAAAAATAGTCCACTCTTCTCACCGTGGAGCTTCTTAAACATCAAGAAGTGAAACTCACAGTCTTCTTCACAAAAGAAGTTTCATTTGGCTCACCACCGAGCTGGGGTGGAGCGAGAGCATTGGTTTGGTTAAGCTGAAAGTATGTTTGTACTGACTTATAAACTCCATTATGTTAACCGAGTATTCCTCAAACTCATATAGTTGTTTTAGAACTGAAGATGCATTTAATTATCCGAAACATGTACCTACTCGTCGTAAAATTTGAAAAATATTTCATAAAGAATTGTGGAGAAGACTGTGATTTTTACTTCTTGATAGATATTAATTTTTATTTTTTTTCTAGATTCCTATTTTTGAAAGTCCTAGCGATGCCAAAAACAATATGCTGTCATCTTTAGTATTCGCAAGCTGCTCCGACATTCCTGAAGTTTGCGTTTATTTTTCCAACAAACTGATGCGTGGAAATAGAGTTAGAAAAATCCATACTTCTCACGTTGACGCTTTCGATTCACCCAATTATCCTTTGATGGCTGAAACTGGATTTCATTGCCGAAGTGAGTAAAACTGATTTGAAGGTGTTTTATTCAAAGTTATTAGGACGCCGTATTTCATTATGCTTATTATATATTTATGTAGAGCTAATTTGATTATGTTTGAGAACTTCGGAGTTATTTTTTTTTGCATAGATTACACCGGTTCTGGTTGTCAGAATATTTCCAAGGATTGTGGAATTCCAAGAGATGTTAATTGTGAGTTTTTAGATTTGATATGAAAATGGAGGTAGCTTACACAATTTTTTTTTTTGCTTCGGTGTCATATTTGGCAAAACTAATTATTTATAAATAATGCTTTGACAAGGAAAACGTTTTGTTTTGTTTCAGTTTATCGTCAATTTATTCTGCCTAAAACTGAGAGAGGGACACTTGCAGTTACTACGAATTTGTGTGAATCAATTGGAATTCTCTATATGTTTCCTACTATGACAAGGACCCAGGTAAGAATTTTTTTTGGCACTTGTTTTGTTTTCTTTATGGCAAATTTGTCAAGGCTTCTTCAAGCTAAACCAACATTTAATATCTGGACACGTGAAAACAATCTGCTTTTAAATTGGAAGAACATACAACATAAAAACAGCTCAACAAGAAACTGAGAAGCATTAGCCCAACTGAAAATTTGACTTAGCCAATTTAGCACAAAAAATATAAAAAGAAGAAACCCTGTTCAAGACAATTTTTTTTTTTGCTATGCAGTAGAGTAACTTACTGTTAAGTTCACTGAAAATGTATTACGACCCTTAATGGGCTACTTATAATTTTTATGGTCTTGTTAACTGGGGTTATTTATAAGGTTTCATAACTAACTAAATTCAACGTTATATTTTATAAAAGAATTATATCGGGTCTCTGAGATCTGAAATTTGTCCCTCTCAGCTTGTTCATAAAATTTATATGTAAGTTTTACAAACCTTTTCTGAAACATATAAGACTCATAATGTGGCCGAATGCTTTGTTTTCGAGTCACGTAATGTATTGATGCGTCTGAATACACAGAAGATTCACATAAGAATTAGAGAATCATTTTTTTGTGTGAGTAAGATGTGTAAGTAAGAAAAAAATCATAATTCACTTTCTGAGTCTGAGATCCATTCGCGGTTTGTTTTATTTGATAAAAAGACCCTACTCAATAAATCCTGAAAGTTTTTTTGAAGTCCCTCTGATTGCTTGAAGTAATTTTCAGAAGCTTCCAGAGCTGATTTAATAGGAATTTTCAAATTATTTTTTTGCATTTGAGTGAGAAAAAAATCATAATTCCATTTCTGAGCCTGAGATCCACTTGCGGTTTGTTTTGTTCGATTAAGAGACCCTGCTCAATTAATCCTGAAAGTTTGAAGTCCCTCTGATTGCTTGAAGTATTTTTCAGAAGCTTCCAGAGGTGATTTATTAGAAATTTGCAAATAATTTTTTTGCATCTAAGTGAGAAAAAAAATCATAATTCCATTTCTGAGCCTGAGATCCACTTGCGGTTTGTTTCGTTCGATTAAGAGACCCTGCTCAATTAATCCTGAAAGTTTGAAGTCCCTCTGATTGCTTGAAGTATTTTTGAGAAGCTGCCAGAGGTGATTTAATAGAAATTTTCAAATAATTTTTTTGCATCTAAGTGAGAAAAAAATCATAATTTCATTTCTGATCCTGAGATCCACCCCCGGTTTGTTTTGTTCGATAAACAGACCCTGCTCAATTGATCCTGAAAGTTTGAAGTCCCTCTGATTGCTTGAAGTATTTTTCAGAAGCTTCCAGAGGTGATTTATTAGAAATTTGCAAATAATTTGTTTGCATCTAAGAGAGAAAAAAATCATAATTCCATTTCCGAGCCTGAGATCCATTCGCGGTATATTTTGTTTAATAAAAAGACCCTACTCAATAAATCTCCAAAGTTTGAAGTCCCTCTTATTGCTTGAAGTATTTTTCAGAAGCTTCCAGAAGTGATTTAATAGAAATTTTCAAATATTTTTTTTGCATCTAAGTGAGAAAAAAATCATAATTCCATTTCCGAGCCTGAGATCCACTCGCGGTTTGTTTTGTTCGATAAACAGACCCTGCTCAGTTGATCCTGAAAGTTTGAAGTCCCTCTTTCCTCTGATTGCTTGAAGTATTTTTCAGAAGCTTCCAGAGGTAATTTATTAGAAATTTTCAAATAATTTTTTTGCATCTAAGTGAGAAAAAAATCATAATTCCATTTCTGATCCTGAGATCCACCCCCGGTTTGTTTTGTTCGATAAACAGACCCTGCTCAATTGATCCTGAAAGTTTGAAGTCCCTCTGATTGCTTGAAGTATTTTTCAGAAGCTTCCAGAGGTGATTTATTAGAAATTTGCAAATAATTTGTTTGCATCTAAGAGAGAAAAAAATCATAATTCCATTTCCGAGCCTGAGATCCATTCGCGGTATATTTTGTTTAATAAAAAGACCCTACTCAATAAATCTCCAAAGTTTGAAGTCCCTCTTATTGCTTGAAGTATTTTTCAGAAGCTTCCAGAAGTGATTTAATAGAAATTTTCAAATATTTTTTTTGCATCTAAGTGAGAAAAAAATCATAATTCCATTTCCGAGCCTGAGATCCATTCGCGGTTTGTTTTATTTGATAAAAAGACCCTACTCAATAAATCTCTAAAGTTTGAAGTCCCTCTTATTGCTTGAAGTATTTTTCAGAAGCTTCCAGAAGTGATTTAATAGAAATTTTCAAATAATTTTTTTGCATCTAAGTGAGAAAAAAATCCTAATCTCATTTCTGAGCCTGAGATCCACTCGCGGTTTGTTTTGTTCGATAAATAGACACTGCTCAATTGATCCTGAAAGTTTGAAGTCCCTCTGATTGCTTGAAGTATTTTTCAGAAGCTTCCAAAGGGGATTTAATAGAAATTTTACCTGATTTTTTTTGCATCTAAGTGAGAAAAAAAGTCATTATTCCACTTCTGAGCCTGAGATGCACTCGCCACTTGTTTTGTTCGATAAAAAGACCCTACTTAATAAATCCTGAAAGTTTGAAGTCCCTCTGATTGCTTGAAGTATTTTTCAGAGACTTCCAGAGGTGATTTAATAGAAATTTTCGCATGATTTTTTTGCATCTAAGTGTGAAAAAAATCATAATTCCATTTCTGAGCCTGCGATTCTTTCGGGGTTTGTTTTGTCTGATGAAAAGACCCTACTCAAAAAATCCTGAAAGTTTCAGGTCCCTGTAAATGGTTGAAGTATTTTTCTTTTTTTTTGCCGGTTGATGGGTAGGTACCTACTCCCTTTAACAAAGTACAATCAATTTTTACGATGTGATTTCAAGATAATTGAAAAAAATTATACATTTTTGTATAGTAGATAAATCAGACTTTCTGACAATGACAGAATATACAGGGTGTTTCATTGAAAGTAGTGAGTAATTTTATTTCAAAAAATGGCATGTCTTTGTAAAACCAAATTTCAACAAATTTTAGGATTTGGCAATGAAAAAAAAAAAAATTAAAAAATCCCAGAATAAACGAGATATTCACCTGCAAAATGTGTCAGTTTACCCCTGTATTTCCATAAGTAAATATCCCATTTGGTTGTCCTAGAAAGCCTTTAAAACCACTTTTTCCAGCAGTTTGCAACACAAATTAATTTACATTTTAAACTTTAAAATTTAGAACTTTGGAAAACCTTTTTAATATATGTAGAGTGCATATTTTTTAGCTTCTCTCGTTCTTGGAACCTACCCTAGAAGGTGTAGTTATAATGACATTTGGTGCCGGCAACGTGCCTTCACATAGGCAAGATTTATTGGATGTGTTGAGAAATGCCGTTGGAAGGGGTGTTACAGTTGTGATAGTAACACAGTGTGCCAAAGGGAGCGTCAGTTTCACTTACGAAACGGGACAGGTGAATATTAGCAAATTATTTCAATTTGATTTGAATAAAATGTATTTTTTTATCAGTGTCTGGAAGAAATTGGTGTAATTCCATGTTACGATATGACAGTTGAGGCAGCCTATGCAAAACTTGTCGTAGTTTGCGGGATGACTAGACAATCAGAAGAAAGGGCAGAGGTATCTAATTCAATTTTTGAGATTTCTTTATTAACACATTGCGTGCCACATGTATATTGCGAAAATATCCCACGGGGCCCCGCGTGTTTTTTGTCTCCATTTTTATTAAAAAGTGGCTGAAATGATAGATTATATTGTTTATAGTATTTTTTTTGTTTGTTCTTAGCTTTCCCCACCATTTTTTCTATGTCAGTCATATATGACTGACGTGGCCCCCCAGGTTATTTTCATGGACTTGGACATGGAGGGGGCCACGTCAGTCAAATATGCCCGACGATTTTTTTCTATTGTTTTTATATACCTACTTATCTACACACATCAAAATAGTCTAGCTGACTGAATACATTTATAAATTGAAGAAAATATAATTTTGAAAGAGTTTTTAATTTTTTTAAAGCCTGCTAAAAAAGCCGATATGATAAATTTGATAAGATTTGTTCAACAAATACCCACGTTATCTTTTTGAGAAAAGTTGTTCTGTCTCAAAATTAAAAGAGACATATTTCTTGTTCCCTAGACTATTTTGTTGAGTGTATCTAAATAGATTTCCATATGAGTGTTCTAGTTTACTTTTATAGAATTTTGTATTTTTTTTTTTTATTCACAAGATTAACATTGACGTCTTCGGAAGAGATAGCTATAATACAATGTTTGATTTGAAGCTCTCAAACAAATAGTAAATAGTCAAATTTGTCCAAACCAAGTATACCGATATGTTCCGCACAGGCCACTCTTTAAATTCCCATTAGGAAATATAGGTATTTTTGGGCAGGTATGATTGACACGGCCTGGTACGCTAAAGTGTGCATTCAAGCATATACAGGGTGACAATTTGAAAAGTAGCAATCGGGAATATCTCTTAGACAAAAAATACTATCAGGAAGATCTCAAATACATATCGGGGGATTGGAGAAGGAACCAAAATGAGGCACTTTTTGATTCACCCCGCCTCACCTGCAAAATCTTAAATCGTATTTGACATATCGGTGTTTAAAAATAAGCATATTTTTAAAACACCCTAGTAATTTTGACTACCTATCTCTTAGACGAAAGAATTCGTACATAAAAGTGTCAAATACACATCGGAGAAACCAAATGGTTTATTGCCTAACCCCTACCCCTCCTGTCTTGGAGGCTTGCCCTTTTAATGATTTTACTAAAATGAGAAACTACCCCATGTGATACCTTCTTTGAAAGGTTTTTTATTCCTCTTTAGAGGCGTGACCATTTCATTCCAGCTACAAATTAGATTATGATCATTTGAATCTTCATCTCGAAAAACCAAATACAATTTTGTCTGGAAAAGTTGAAGAGCATTCAGCTATTCTATTAACGCCCCATTAGGCTGAATTCACTTGAAACCACGTTCTGTAGCTGATACCCAACACCAAATCATAATTCAACCATTTCTCGCCGGTATTCGGTAGTGCCCCACTGCTACACTTACCTTAAATAGTATAATCGTGCAACAAATGGGATCCTAACCTATTATGGTGGACGGCTTCCCCAGGGGACACCAATTACCAAAAACAAATAATCAAACCATGATTTGTTGCCCTGGATATCAGTGAAACGCAATTTCAATTGTTAAGAGGAAGTTATTGAAAACATCTACAGCCAAATGCTTAAAGTCTAATACCAAACATGCTCAACTTATAGATTTTGATGAAATTTTCATTCATAAATTACTAATATAGAGTCTAGTGATCTTTTGGCGCTGATACCTATTTATGTCCCTCCAAGACGGTTGGCTAACGATCTGGAAGTGGATGTATTCAGCACCTCACTTCATTATCTTAGAGCGTCTGTTAATTAAGCTAGACCTAATCTTATGTTCCTTTGTGTTGACTTGTTTTCTGAGTAATTTTATATGTCTTAGTCTTATTCATTTTTGTTATTTTTTTTTGATGTTTTATGATTTATTTTTTGTAAAATTGGGTTATACCAGTTGATAAATAAAAATAAATAAATAAAGAAGTAGCTTACCAAAATTCTGATTTGAAGAGCAATTAGGATCATAGCTTAGGTAATTATTATTTTTTTACTGCCTCTTTCCTCCACAATAGTCTACTGCCGAATGACGAACATAAAAATAAATAAGAAAATAAAGGTAAAATAGCTTGTTTACATTACCCTGGTCCCTTTTTTTCTCACTTCAGTCACAGATTATCTTCAGTGATGATTCATCAATTAGGTATAATATTTGAGATAAACAAATCGTTCCATCTTTACCTGCTGAAATGCACAAAACACCAATTTTGGATTGTTTCGAAAATGTGATGAAAAACCTTCCGAGAATGATCATAGTGCAAAACAATTATCATTTTTTTATGTAAGTTCCCACTGTATACCTATTTATTATGCATCAGATAATATGTATTGGTACTATGTAGATAGATTTCAATCGATCCACACGCTTCATAGACGTCTTAATACAGGGTATTTTTTCTGATTGGGTCATATTGGGTTTTACATAGTAACTTTTGAACCTGTTGGTTCATGTCACGGTCAAATAAACGTCCACTACGTGACGTCCCAAACAAGTCATATTTTGCAATCTCTCCCCGACGTCGAATTTTGGTTAATCGACGTAAATCTATTTAAAATCGACGTCATAACGACTAACCTTTGCTACTTGGTATATTTGTTGGAATAGGAAAAAAGACCTGCTGGAAAACATCCTCCAGCATTTTAAATGTTTGAATGGATTTGGATCAGACGACTTTTTCGCAGATCTGTTTTTGTATTAAAATTGTATTCGCTAACATTCAATGTTCTCTATCTTGGGCCCGTGCCAATGTTCTCATCTTGAGATAAACTTGCTGGTGACTATCTGCAAGATAAATTTACAAATCTATAATCCTGTTGGTCACTGGATAATTGGTTGACCAATGGGATTACATATTGCGTTTCTATCCGTCAGATTGCATTACCTGGCAGTTTATTAGAAAGTGAATAAACTGTGTATTGAGAGGATCTTGCAGAGCCGGGAATAGACAAAAATTTGTGAATTGAAAGGCAGACATTAAGGGAAAATGGAGTAGATAAATAGACTTATGGCCGTTTCCACCAACTATTTTAGGGGATCCCTAAGGATAAGTATTTCCTAAAATGACATTTTTACATGGGAAAATGTCAGTTTAGGGAATACTTATCGTTAAGGCTCCCCTAAAATAGTTGGTGGAAATGGCCATTAAGTACCTATATGTTGTTTCTATTCCAGGCTCTTGAATTTTATTTATGTAGAGATATTTAGAAATAAACAATTCAAAAGCCAGAAATAGACTAAAGTTTAGACAGAAAACTGTGAGAATTGAAAAGCAGCAATTTAGAGAAAATCGAGTAGATAAGTAGACTTAAGTATGTTGTTTCTATTCCAGGCTCTTGAAATTTCTTTATGTAGAGATATTTAGAAGGAACAATTCAAGAGCCGGGAATACACGAAAATTGAGACGGAAAAATTCAGAAAGGACCCTGCACACTTCTTATGGGATTTCTGACCGCGGTCAAATTTAACCAAATTTTAGTATGTTATAGATCTCACCTTTCTGATCATTAACTACCATGGGCACAACTTAATCCTATGACTAGTTTTTGAGATACAGGTAGTTTAATGTCCAAGAAATGCACACATTTTATATGCATTCACATCTACCTGTCACCTGAGCGTGAGGATACCTGTTCATCCTGGCATTTTTAGGTGACAGGTAGATGTAAATGCATATAAAATGTGTGCATTTCTTGGACATTAAACTACCTGTATCTCAGAAACTAGTCATAGGATTAAGTTGTGGCAATGAGAGTTATTGATCAGAAAGGTGAAATCTATAACATGCCAAAATTTGGTTAAATTTGACCGCGGTCAGAAATCCCATAAGAAGTGTGCGGGGTCCTTTATAGAAGAAATTTAAGGAAAATTTCTAAAAAGCAGAAGCATCATTCGACTATATCACAGATTTAATGGGTTTGCCTAGGTATTCTCTGATATAAAGTAAAAGCTTAAGCTTTCGCAGATAGTTTAGAGCTGAAAGACTGCCTAAATGAACTTCCAGATAAATGAGATTGATCAATCCGTCGACAAACTGCGTGAACCAGGGATAAGGTCAATCCCTAGGGAATCCAGAGGCCTGAAAATCAGGAAGGCACGGGGTCGCGAGGCAGAGGAGAAGCCTATAAAGGCTGTAATGACCTTAACTATAATGACCTTTTCCCTTCTGGGACTGGAACACTTCTGATAGAGTAGACATAATGAGTATGCTATTATTTTCTATTTCAGGCTTTTGAATTTTCTGTGTTTGGAGGTGTTCCGAAGAAAACAATTCAAGAGTCGAGAATCGACAAACATTTAGACAGAAAAATTTGAGAATTGGAAAGCAGAAATTTAGGGAAAAATGAGTAGATAATAGATAGACTTAAGTATCTTTTGAATTTTTACTGTTTGTAGACCCCTTAGCTTACCACAATGACCAGTGTGTCGTCAAAAGGACGTCCAATTTTAGACCACTTTGGTCTCATTCGACTTTTGTCCAAAATAGAACGTCGTACTGGCGACATGTTTTGGACATACATTTGAAAATTTCGATGAGAAAAAAAATCCAAAAAGGAAATCTTATTTTTGGCTCTGGACATTTTTTGGAATCTTGACATGCTCATGAATAATTGCTCATATCTTTCATGATATTTAGTAAAATTATCTACAATTAGACATCATTAAAAAAAAAAAAATTAAATTCTCTATAAGCCGTGCAAAATTAGTTACTGTCACTTGTGAAGCCGAAATATATGAAAAAAGGCACTCAGAAAAATTGAAAAATTGATAAATCACCTCAATTGCTTAACACGATTTTATCTCAGGAACTATAAGTGCAAATGAGCTGAAATTTTCAGGGATTGTAGTCCTTTGAAAGGGATAAAATTCACTGAAAGATTCAGCTTTCTATCTAGAATAGAAAAAAAGTTATGACCTTTCAAAGTTTTCATTTTGGAGCTTTTATTGACAGCTACAATTAGAGTTGATTTTGTGCCAGTACCGCTTTTGGTTACCGAGATATTTAGGTTTGAAGATTTGCAAATTAAAATTCAACAGGGATACCCTTAGGAAAAAGTACCAAAAATTGAAATTTTTTATTTTCTGATTTATCTCAATTCTGACTTTTTAAATCGATAGAGCGAGTCCAAATAAGTCAGAAACAACTCCAACATTAGTTCCATTTGAAAATTTCTATGAGAAAAAAATCCAAAAAGAAATCCCATTTTTGGCTTTGGAAATTTTTTGAAATCTTGACACGGTGTTGAATAATTGCTCATATATTCAATGAAATTTGGAAAACTTTGTTACAATTATACATCATTGGAAAGAGTTATAAATTCTCTGTAAGCCCTACAAAATTGGTTTTTGTAACTTGTGAAGTTTCCGAGATATTAGACTTCAAAGTTGAAATTTAGTCGACATTTTGTCCAAAACTTCAAACTCGATTTTCTCAAAAACCCTGAACGATAGAGATTTCAGTAAAGTACCATTATGGAGCAATATTTGAGAGCTACAATTGAAGGTTATTTTGTCCCGGTAACGTTTCTGGTTACCGAGATATTCAGGTTTGAAGATTTGCAAATTAAAATCCAAAGGGGGAAAAAATACCAAAAACTGAATATTTTTATTTTTTTCTCAATTCTGACTTTTTAAATTGATAGAGCGACTTCAAATTAGTCATAAACAACTCTAACATCAGTAACATTCAAAAAATTAATTTTGATGAGAAAAAAATCCAAAAAGGAAATCTAATTTTTGGCTCTGAACATTTTAATGGTGCCTACTATGCATCAATAAAAAGAGTATTAAATTCTCTGTAAGCTCTGCAAAATTGGTTTTTGTAACTTGTGAAGTTTCCGGGATATTGAGCTTAGTTCAGTAAAGTAGAGTATTACTACTGCTGCTAATTTTCAAAATGTGCTTACTTTTAGACACCGATATCTCGAAAACTAACCGTACAATTCAAGATTTTGCTATAAGACTGTCAAGGGAAAGCAACGAGCTATCCAACAATGCACAACACAAGGTTGCCTCCTATTTGAAAAAATACGTTAGGGTAGCTACCCCTTAAGGGGGGAGACGGGGTGACTCAAAAAGTGCTTCATTTTGGTTCCCCCTCCAATCCTCCGATACGTATTCGAGATCTTCCTGATAGTATTTTTGGTCTAAGAGATATTCCCGATTGCTACTTTTCAAATTGTCACCCTGTATGTCCGACGTGGCGTGAATGACTGTCGGGCAGTTGTGCATGCAATGTGTTAATCATTCGTTTTTTTTTTCAGCTTATGAAGCAGATCCTGAGGGGCGAAATGACTATTTACCACTAAAACGTCTTCATCTTATAGTCATAATCTTTGATGAATCTCTTTTTATATTCTGAATTTAAATTTTTTAAAATTGTTATATACACGCTTGTATATTATGTGTTATATTTTTTATAAAAATATGTAACTGTAACGTGGCTATTATTATTTACCTACAAATGGTGAAATATCTACATTTTACATGTATGTGTTCGGAGCTCAATTTGGTGATATTTATATTAAATCTTTTTAAATCTCATGATGTCTAAACTAAAATGTATTGATGTTTGAGTAAATTTTATTAAATGTAATAAAGTTTTCGAAAATCAACTGTCATTTTATTTATCTCCAATCAAAATATATTTTACGCTTGAGGTATGCCTATAATAACTTTCAGTTGGAAAAGTATCATTAGGGGATTTTTTTATATCCTTCTATATGATGTCAGTTTTGATTAAGTTCCAGGCCCATTAGTAACCTACCTACCCTAAAAAAAGTATCCAGGAAAAAAAGTAATTTCCGTGCACATCCGGAGAACATTTTATATGGGAGAAGTTTAATTTTGTTTGTTTTTATGTAGGCTATATTCTGATAAACTGGTTCTTTCCTTGTAACCAATGAGTTCATTACAATGCTACTTCACAGCAAACTTTAAAATGTATACATACGTCAAAAATATTATAACGTTTTATTTTATTTTTTCAAATAAGCTCAATGATATTTTCAATTTGTTTTTCATTTTCAAACAATCAAAACCATTACAAAAACGTACCTATGTGAAGTTACATGGAGAGATTGATTTTTCCCGATTAAAAGGGGGCTTATCCTTGGACCACAAAAGCAATAGATATATGGTTGATAAATTTTATATCTTTTCAAACCAGTAATTTGGTAAATATAATTTCGGAATGACAAAGGCTGAGAGATTTTTATTTTATTGACGGCAGATTGCCTGAAATCAATTAGTAATATTTCCAGAAAAATGAAGAAATGAAAATACATTTTCAATACATTGAGCTTTTAAAAGATTTGTAATCTTTTAAAATGTTCAGTTTGGCGGTTACGTTTTTCTTTGCAAAAAAATTTGAGATTCTCATATTTTTTCTCCAAAAATTTGTACAAGATAATGTCTTTTTGTGCAAATTAGTATTTATGTATATATAAAGCAAAAATGCTCATAATTTTTCAACAAAAAAAAAAACCAAAAGAATACCCATGTCAATCCTTTTCACAAAGGTTTCCAATGTATTTTTTTTTTGATTTGCTAAACTATAAATTTTCCATCAGCATCGGCTTAAAATTCATCCCGGCAATCTGAGCGCGTCAAACTTCCTAATTTCCCAAATTGATGATTGGAGATCTAAGATGTTCTCTCTAGCCGAACGTACCCTACTATGACGTTCAATAGTATTAATTCAAGACAGGGTTTATATCCAATATAAACTCTTGGAGCGTGTAATATACAAATTAATTTCTAATCCAAACAAGGGGTTAAGCTTTGTCCCTTCTGGTCGTGAGTCAATGTACATGCAGATATCGATTCAAATCTAATAAGTATAGATAAAAGAGTGTCAGCAACTTACTACAAAAAAAAAATGGGTAAAATTGCAGAGTAAAATTAAAAAGTTTAACCACTCTGCACCCCTAACTCAACGTTTTTTTCCGCTCATCGTTAACCAAACTGGACCATCGGCTGGCTCAACTAGAATACTCACAGAGTCGCAAAGGAGTAATTCGTATACCTTGCAAATGCGAGAATAAATACGGGCTCAGAGCTTTGAAAATTTTTGAAGTTCTGGAAATCATTCATCCAATCTGAGCCAGAAATTGATAATAATAATTCGACTGATCAACAAAGATTTGAAGAATTTCAATGATGATTCAAAGCTCGAAATTTTTGAAAACCAAGAGCTTCCAAACAGTGAAAATTATACTGAAGCCTTCTCAAGAATTCATTGAACGTTTTCAAATGGGCCGACATGTTGCAAATAATATTGCGGAAGTGTATCAGCTAAGCCATTTACTTAATCTCCCGTCAAAAGAAAATGATAAAAATTAGATTTCAGCATCAGGTTTCATCGAATTGCCTTGAAATATTGTCAGTCTCTAGAGCATGTTACTTTTTCGTTTCAACAAAAATTTGTTGCCAACAAATTTGTATTTTGAGTTAATGTTACCGACATGTTTCCAACAATTCGCTGGAACAAACGTGTTGTTCCGACACATATTTATTTGAGTTTGGAAAAGATGTTTCCTGAAACCTGCCTCATACTAATACGATTTTCACGTAGCTACCTACTCGTTCGTAAAGTAGATTAGGGCAAAGCGTTCCGGGTCCCTATCAATGACAGATTTGATTAAGTTATGTTATTTTTTGTCGAAAAGAGGCAATCAAAAAAAAAAGTAATCAGCCGACAAAACTTGCAGAGACCTTTATTGCTTTTTCGGCATGATATTTGTGACGATCCGGTAGTTTGTTTAGGTACGAGCTCGTGAAAAAGTAAACAAACATAAGGTATCCGTTTTTAATTAATGTTTCCCAATAATGAACTTTTTGAGTAGGTAAATATAGCCAGTTATTTTTCACATCATGAAATCTCATAAATATTTTGAAAATAGAAGAGGAAATTCAAGATCTCAGACTGGACGTTTCTTATTTGGTACCTATGTATTTTGAGTCTGATGTTCGGGTTAAGACGTTCAAGTATTCATTCAAATATCAGAACACATAATAGCCATGTATGTACCTACATTGAAAATATCAATTGTATTTCCTCTTTTCCCGATATACTTTCTAGACAGTCGCTTAGTCGCTATAATTCTTATTTCAGTTGAAATTCTTATCCGTTTTGAATCGTATTTCCAATATTTCCATAATCAAAATAAGTCGTAATATGATTCCCGGGATCGGTAAGCCTCACCGTCTCCCGCGACCCTAAAACGAATTATAAATTTGCATTAATGATTCCCTAGGGCCCATCTGGAAATCCTTCTTAATTACCAACAAATCGAAAAGGCATTAAACACGTAAAGTTTTCCCTCCCTTCGGCAGGGCTGCTGGAAACTTAACAGTTTTCCTGTCAGTAATTAAAAAAGCAATTTTCCTCCAGGTAATTTTGCATTTTCGATTATGACCGAGAGTTTAAGTTTTGTTTATTGGTCGCTCGATTTTCCGTTTTAATTTCAATTTGGCGGTGAAATAATAATTATCATCGAGTGGCATTCAGATTGATTTTCGTTAATATTAAATTTTCTTTCCTTCGTTATAAAAAGAATTGTGAATTTTCCTCGATATTGAACTTTTTTATCTGATTGGAAAACTCTCAGGCTAGAAAGGCAAAATAAAAGACAATTTCAGGAAATTAAACTTTTCTTCTATATTTACAATTCAGGTAAATAAAATTCACATCAATCTATCGAGGGTATAAAACATTAATGCTTAAATTTCTATTTTACAATAGATCGATCAGAAAAAGTATATAATAGGTACTCATCTTATTTTTTGAGCTACATAGAGGAAAATATACTAGCTATAAATGTTTGATAATATATTTTTAAAGATATGTTAGTTTGCTCTGGAATATGGATAAATTTCTATTTACATTAAGTCTTCCGTATGTACAACCCTGTCATATATTTGGAAAGTTAATTTATATGGATAAATATACTATGGCTAAATATTGTTTTGAATGTTAATTTGAAAGGAAAAGTATAGGCCGCAACCTTGTATTTAACACGTAAAGGAAACATTTACAAAATCCCCACAAATAATAATAAATTAGTTGGTACTTGGGTACTGGTCAAATCTTACCAAAAATAGAATAAAAGGTTAGGTACTCATATTTTCTTATATTTAAATAGATTTTTGTAGACAATGTTAATGTTGATTGTTTATAAATTGATTTGATTGGGAGAATATAGAATTGTGTAAATATTTTTGTTCAGAATCTTTATAAATAATTGCTCCAAGTAACGACTCTTGAAATTTTTGGAAATAAATACAACTAGAAAAAACTTATAATAATAGGTACTTATTTTAATGAATGAAAATAATGACTAGAACACAGGTACAAAACATATCACATTAAAGGTAGATGCGTGGAAGGAAATATATAATATATAAAGGACAGTGCATTTGAATTTGGAGCTTTCTTTTGTTGAAATTCACAAAAATATCGTAAATGAGTAGGTACCTAGTTGATTTAGGCTGTCAAAAAAAAAAAAAAACGAAGTTACAGTAAATTAGAAACCCACTGGTTCATCATTCATTAGTACCTACTTTGATGGGTAAAACAACCCGCTAACTCCATTTTTGTTTGATAAAAAGATATTTAACAAAAAAAAAAAAACGGTCACAAAGAGAAGAATTAAATTTCAGATAAATCATTTATCATTTTCCTGTCTGGCTCGTTCGTGCACAAAACCGGCGTATTTCCGCCGGTTTAGTCGCTTTTATGTAAACAGGAGTTCGACATAAAAAAAAAAATATTGCCTAACTTATTTTTTGATACTTCAAAGAGATGATTGATTATACCCACCGCTTTATCGGAAGAACAGATTTGCTGGTTGAAAAATAAATAATATTTTGAACTGCTTTGCTAAAGCTGGCTGTTGTTTCTGTTTTATTCATTTCTAAAACACTCATGACAAGTTTTTCATTTTTCACTGGTTAATCTTTGAAATGAAATTTAAAAAAAAATCTACTCCATGCTTTAATTTTTATTTCAAAGCACACAATGACAGGAGAGTCCGCAAATAAACATGGTGAAACATAATAGTCCAGTCACACGTTGTCAGAAGCTGAAAATTGGTATACACCTTAATTTGGACGTTCTAATAGTTGTCCCCAAAGTCACAATAAAAAATGTGGCCAACGCTTCTTAGTTATTGCAGGTCAAATGTCACATAAATCGTTTTTTTTTTTGCGATTATCTCGGTTCCTATTGCTCCAATGATATAAACACCTATTACAAAAGTTAGAGATAATAAAATTCCTAAGCACTTTTGTTTGAAACTTTTTTTTCATAAAATGAACCGTTCTCGAGATACAGCGCGAAGAGTGGTACCTAAGCCCTATGCTCCAGATTTTGACCAATAAAATAAAGGGACCTAACGGTGAATTTTTGCATACAGGTTGTTGTTATGGGTCTAAATAGTGAAAGTTGCCCATCGATTCGGTGATAATTTGGGCGGTTTTGGAGGGTCAAAGGTCAGGAATGCGTTTATCA